TGCCTTGCCTGGGGTGGAGAAGGGTGCAGGCCCCGTGTGCTTGCTCGCCACTGACTCAGATAGCAGACATCTGGAAGAGCGGAGGACATACTTGCGGTTCCTGCATCTGGTGCAGATGTGGTCGGGGCCCACTGCTGGGCCTGCCTCACCTTGGCTCAAGGATGTGTCTGGAGGTGGGACCTTGCTCAGGAACTTGACCACTGGGTGACCTTGGCTGAGTGACCCTCCAAGCCTTCACTTTCCTACTTGTACACTGGATGCAATGGGGCACAAGTTCTGGTCAGCAAAGGGCCCCCAGCTAGGACACTTGGGTGGACGTGGCCAGCCTGCTCTCGATAGCGCGTTTGCTGGAAGAGCCTAAGCAGCGGAGCCCGCCCTGCTCAGAAGGACCCAGCCTCTGCCTGGGGGGCATGTTCCTTCTCCTACTGAGGGGCCTCCCCTGCTTGTCGGGGAGGGGGGCACCTGCTGCTCCTTTTCCCCAGGGCTGGGCTCCTTCATGGCCACTGCGCTAACCTCAAATCCTCACGGAAACCAAGGAAACATCTAGGCTCTTCCCTCCTCCCAAAGCCCTTCGGGACTAATCTCGGGATGAAAACTGTCATGAAACCTCTGAATTTTGGCGTTGAAGCAAAGGCCACAGTGGAAGCAGCCAGTGGCAGCGACCAAGACTCAGGTCTCTGAACTACTGCTGCGCAGGGGCCCTTTCTGTTCTACCTGGAGCCCAAGCGGGTGCTCTGGACCTATAGGCCCCATCCTAGGCCTGTAACTCCTGAAGGAGGGCCAGCTGGGCCGCCCTGCAGCCCCTATTCCCCAGTGCGCCCCGCTGCTTCCCCCACCCCTACCAGCACCCGCTTCCTCTCCACCAGCGAATAATCCTGCCGAGCACGGGCCCCTCAGGCTCCCCCCAACACCCTGCCTGGCCCAGCCCGACACCATGGGGCGCCCACTCGGGTCTCCACCACGCTGTGGTCTGGGTTCCCTTTGCCCCACGCCCAGCACTCCCCCAGGTCCCCCGAACACTCAGCCGGGCCTGCCCCATCCAGTGCCCCCTTCTCCCGCTCTGGCCCCCACCTCTTCATCCCCTCCCCAGGGGCCTCCCCTCACGCCTCCAGACCCGGTGTGCGGCCCCCCCCCCTCAAATCCCGCGTCCCCTCAGGCGCGCCCCAGCCCCTCTGCCCAGCACCGGCTACCCTCTCCCTTGAAGGCCGCGCCCCCTCAGACCTCCAAGCCCCCGTGTCCGGCGCTCCCTTAGATGACCCCTCAGCCCCGGTGCCGGCGAACCCATCGCCCGCCCAGCGCTCCTCTCCCTTGAACCCCGCGCCACCTCCGATGATCCCCCAGCCCCGGGGTCCGGCGCCCCATCGCCCGGCCGGTGGCCCCTCTGGCCGGTCGCCCCTCCCCACCTCTGCCCGTTCGCCCCTCCCCCAGGCCCTCCC